AGAAGCACCAGTGAAGCACTTTTGTATAGGTGGTAAAATAACTATTTGTAGAGGCATTTGCCACGAACACCTCTATTCAAGTCTATCTTCTATGTAGAAATATATGATATTTAGAGGCAAACATCCGGCCATCTCCAAAAATTGATTACCTAATTTTGAAAAGCCTCTAAAACGTGAACATGTGCATAAGGGTTCAAACTTGAGACCTTGAGGCTCGTGTGAGCCTCCCCTACCACTACACCATAAGGTCATTGGTGATCAAACGTAAGATTCTATCCTTTTGGTATTAACTATTTAAATCATGTATTAACTATTTCAGCCACTAAATGACTTCAAATGAAAATTGTTTGGACTACAAAGTTTGAAATCTCGTCGAGTGCTACAGCTTTTATTTAGGACATCTTTTCATCCAAGTTCATTTGAAAAAAAAATTGATTTTAAATTAAAACCTAAAAATTTTAAACATAATGTTGGGATCCTAATTGATTTAAACGAAAAAATACCTACAAAAGCTACAACTTTGATTAAAAATTATCTTTATCTAACTTAATTTGAAAAATTTATGAATTGTTATGTTGCACCTATTTTTAAAGGTAGACTATATTTGGTCGCCCTAGGGCCAACAGGAAAACGCAGCCGCCGCCAAAAGGAAACGGCTTTGCCCCTCGCGGCCGCGTAGGGCCCCTCTCCTTCCTCTCCGGTGCATCTGCCGGTGGTGACAAGGAGAGGGGACCCACCTCTCTTTTTCGCAACTTTATATCTAGTTTGCTTATGGTTTATCTCTAATAAATCTACCGGCGAAATCAGATGATTTTCGTCAGGATCTTATTACCTGCAATAACTTCAGTGATTGCCACAACGAAATCATCGTTGCAGACGTCAATTTTATCAGTAGGTGGCCAATTTGTTGCCATTATCAGAAATGGGAGGGGTGCCCTGGGCACTCCCAACGAGAACAATTACCATGGGTCATCGATGATCACGGGGAGGAAATCAAGATTTGAAGGTAATGATTTGCATCCTATGCTATACGAAACGATGCAATTGTCGATGTTCTTTCATCGATTCAGATACGTTTTGAACTGGCTTTAGAACGTTGGATCTTGTGGTATGTCTAATGTTTTGGGGTTGATCATTGGATTCAGCATAAAGACTGCACTCTGGCTTCGGTGTTCAACAAGGTTGTATTCATAAAAAAAATGCCACTAGGAAGAAGACAATGAAAGAATCTAGATAGACTATTATACCTTTTTTTATTTTAGATTTTTTTCATATGTAATTTGGGGATATTGTGCTGAGTTTTAATATAATTCCTCCTTCCTTAAAAAAAGGGTAAACTATATTTCCAGCCGCCTAAAAAGGATTCCTAGAGGCGTTCCATCTCTGAAATTAGTTTTTAGAGATGGTTCTTGATATAACTATTTCTAAAAAATATGCTTTGAAAAAGCATTTATGTTGTAGCAATAGAAACTACAGGTATAAATTAAATAGACAATCAAATACAAAAATAAATCAAGAAAAAAATTAGAAACATCACGTAATTGCAGAAGAGGGTCATGCGTGAACACAGAAACTAAAGAAAAAAAAGGAAAGATGTTTGATTTGTGTCACTAATGGGTAAATAGGTTCTACGGTGGTCTTAAAGATCTTGTTTGATATAGTTGATCCATATCAATCCATATGTGTTGGAGTGGATTGAAATAGAACTTAAACTAAATTTCACCCTAACAGGTGAATCCGACAACATCCAAACACAGCTAAAAGTGGTTTTCCTTGAGCTGTTTCTTCAAGGAAACTTTGTTTTGTATTATCCTGATGTGGGAATGTGGAATATACTAGTAGCTAAGTTATATATGCCTTATTATGAGGAAGCTGAATATGGAAGTTAAGACAAAATTAGGGGGAAATCATTCTAGACAAACGGAAAGGACGCAACTTGCAAAAGGCATTTCATGCAAAGACAAACAAATGTCAAACAGGTAGCCGGTAACACATGGTATACATGATGTCTATTTGGTTCCTTTGTTTTATTCTAAAGTAGAAAATTAGCACTGTGTAGATTATATCCAAATTATTGGTTGATCACATTCATGATTCATACACAAATCATATATGCACCCTATCTGAACTATTTGCAAAGAGAATATTATCCTGTATCGCTTCAATATAAGGTTATGTAGCCAAAACAAAAATACTATGTATTTAATCATAAAAGTAGTATATTTAAACACAACATTACATCACGGTTACGAATAGGTTACAACATGTATGGACATTCTAGAGGCAAAAAATAAACTTGTTTTTTATGCAGACTCCTGGTCTATATCTGACCTGCCCAGTAGTTGATCGGGGTCAAATTGGCAACTTAAATATAGCAAAGTTAGTTATCTCAAAGGGATGCACGTCACCTGGCTTGCCATCCTCAATCTCCATTCCCCACCCTCCAACCAACCCACATTCAAAAATGGCCGCAGAGCACCATTTCATTGACTAATTAAACGTGTATAAAGCATAGTCCACAGCTTATAGTTGTTTCAATCAAACAATTTAATTTACAACTGTACATACCTCACAGTAGCTTTTTCACAGCTCACAACTCACAATAGTTTTTGCACAGCTCACAGCTGAACTAAACAGACCATTTACATGTTGCTTAAAACTAATTTGATCCTTAAAGAAAGAAAGATAATTTGATGAAATGTATGTTGGCCCACTAAACATGAGGATGTGTGAAAAGGGACTAGCTCATTATGAAGAGCTAGCTCTTCTTTCTCTTCTTTCCCTATCTCTTTGTATAGAGAAAAAAAATGAGGATTTTGATTCTATGAGCTACCTGAGTTGGCATTGTTGGATATGCCATAACGCTTGTTACAAACGTTTATTTCAAGAGGTTTTCAAGTCATAATGAAAATTTATTAACTAATCCATCCATCTAGAACTATAAGATATTCAAGCATTCAAAATTTCTTCCAAATTATAGGAGATTATAGGTAAAATAACTCCAAACTCAATTTGAAAAGGCAGCATTCATTTATATGCCTACCTTTAATGTCTATCACCGACCAATATCCCTGAATGAATAAAGGTGGTGCATGGATCATTTACTTTATCCCATAATATATCATATAATTTCTAGGATATCTTGTACGCAGCAGCTATGCGCATTTTTGTATACTTTTTTGGATTCACAACTGCAATGTTTTTTTTAGAAAAAAAAGGAATATCAAAATTGGGACCTAGCTTAGCTAGATGCACCTGAATGCCATCAGGAGTGAGGTAGGTGCCCTAATCCAACCTATATTTCAGAATCAAAATCGTCAAGAACCTAACCATTTCTTAAAAAACATATGCTTGACATCATTTAGAAACAACTCGCTCAAATAATGAAACAACAGATCCGGTCTTTCTTCCCACTATTTCAAAAGTAGATGAACTGCAAACCTGTATAATAATTTAGTATTGTATACTACCAGTAGAACGATCTGATTTCAATAACAAATCACTTCAAAGCATAATTAGCATATAAACTGTTGCGATCTAAAATAGAAATTGCTATACATACAAACCGAACAGGCTTTAGCAAAAAATAAAATTAAAACCAAACTTTTGTGAATGCCTTGCTATGTCCTAAACAGCTAACAAGAAATTTATCCTAAGAACAATATTTAGTTTCATTTTTTTAAAAGTAAGAGACTTCCAATAAAAAGAAAACAAACAACTGCCACCCTTAAAGTAACTGAAGTAATATTAAAAATATTTCCCATGTTTAAAAAACAAACAAATACAGTTGATAATAAAAAAAGCATACTGGGATTATCCTATAACATCAAAACTACATAATGCATTGAATATGTAACCATACATTGAACCAGCAGATCCAGCCTTCTATTATTTTTAAAAAAGTTCCAGGTCACTGTATGAGTCAGCACTGTCCACTGTGACCAGGGCCAAACAGAAGCCAAGACACGAGGCGGCCATACCGAGCCACCGCCTAGTTGTTTTATCCTGACAAGAACGAAGCTCCATCAGAGGCCAGGTCGCACTCATCTGGAGCACAATAAACATCACCCTTGTAGAGATCGACGCATCATGTTAAGCCACCTCGGAACACATTAAACATCACAGCACCCATCAAATCCTATGCCGACCTGAGATTACCACTCAGCATTAGCCTTGACTCAGCATCCATCCAAAATGTCAAACACAAACAGAGCAGCAGCACTAACCATTGCGACAGCTTCAACAGAAAACAGTTGCTGTCAGACACAGGCCATGCAATGTAAAACAAGGTGATAACACTTAACGAATGAGTTATGCAGCGAAGTGATGCTCAATAGCTTAATTTTGGTGGTCCAGCAATAATGAAGTCATTTAACACAATCATGGACCATTGGATCCTGAGTTGTGAGTACAACACAACAGTAGGGCATTTTACATCAGTCATGAATCCTCAGTAGTACAACAACAGTAGGGTGTTTTACACCAATCATGAGCCATTAGAAGCATTTGATGCAAAGCAGAAGCCACCCTCATACTCCTTAGAAAGAAGCAAAGGATGGGGGCTTACGGCTTAGGATATGCTAGCACTATCATACATATGGCCTACTGTAATGATTAGCTTTGTAATGATTAGCAAAAGAAATCACCTTTGTAATGATTTCACAATCCCCTCAGAGCGAAGAAATCACCTTTGTAATGATTAGCAAAAGAGGGATGTGGAAGGTACAAGGAGAAACACAATGTCCACCTAGCCAAGCCAGAAATTCCATAAAATTGGCTAGGTTCCCTCATTTCTTCCAATTGTGGGGAACTCTAAATGGTGGTGGAAATCTCAACACCTACACTAACCAACTCCAAAAGAATGTATCACCAGTAATTACCAGCAAGGTATGAAGGTTGGTAGATGTAGTAATGAGTTGTAAAAGAAGGAACTGGTGAATCACAGCAAAAAAAAAAAAAAAAAAAGGCACCTTTCTTGTTTGATTCATGTTATGTTTGTTCTAGACTACCATCTCATCCAGCTGGAGCTGTTCAAGCCAGCCACCGATGACCCCGGCAGTGTCATCCTCACCGCCGATATCCTCATGACTTGCGGCCTGACTCAAAGAAGCAATGGACTCCTTTGCCGTTGTCCGGTTGATGGATGGCTTCTCTGGCGATGGCTCCTTCACGAGGGTATTGACCCATGAGAGGTCCGGCTCATCACCGTTGGCACCACTCCGAAGCTCAAAGGACGAGGATCGCTTGAGGCGGCCAAGTTCCTCGTCGTCAGCACCCCAATCTGGTGTGCTCGAGGGGATTCCCCATTTGGACCAGCTGGACGTAACCGGTGAGCCAACCAGGACGGAGGCGCCGGAGACAAGGTCACGAGAGCTCATGCTTCTCAGCGTCTGCTGCTGCATCTTCTCCCGCTGCGCAAGGGCCGCGAGCAGCCTGGAGCTCATCGGAGACACTGGCTCAGGGATAACTGTGGCCCGAGGAGACAGCAAACTCTGCTGCTGCTGAAACTGGTTCAGCATGGCGGCCTTACGCGTCGGCGAGAAAGCTGAGCCGCCCTGGTCTGCGTACCGAGGCGACTGAGATGGCGCGGCGCCTGCCATCTCCGCGGAGAACAGATCGTCAAGATTGGACGGTACGAGCGTCTTTCCCCTCGCTGACCGCACAGAGGCTGGCGACACGACGAGCCCGTCGTAATCCGCTGAGGCGAGCAGCTCGTCCACAGCCATGCTGCGCGCGCTCAGCGAAGTGCGCAGCCGGCTCAGGTGAAGGTTCCCCGCGCTCCCGGGGAGGCACAGCGCGGGCACGTTGGGCTGCGGCCACGCGCCGGCCACGCCGCTCCCCCCGCCGGAAGGCGAGAGCGGCGGCGTGAACGACGCACCCGGCGACGGCAGCCCCATTCCCATCGCCGCTGCCATCTCCATCGCGCTGCGCGACCCCGCCGACGACACATACAGTGGGCGGAGCTCCTCAGGCGTGTGCGCGAAGAAGCAGACGCGCCGCGCGCAGCCGACGCCGTCCTTGCAGAGCCGCGTCCGGTACTGCGCCGGGTGGAGCCAGCTCTCGAACACCCCGTGCGCGTACTCGCACATGTCGCCCCTCCGGCACCCCGCCCCCTTCTTGAACTCCGGGCAGGGCACGCAGCTGTAGTGGTACTTGCGCGGGTCCCGCCGCCGCGCGTTCTCGCCGGGGTGGACGAAGGGGCACTCGGTCCAGTCGTGGGAGTAGGCGCGCGAGCACGCGCGCACCTTGAAGGAGTACATGCGGAAGTCGTCGGAGGCGTAGGCGCCGTTCTTGATGTCGGGGAGGGAGGGATCCGGCGGCCACTCCTTGCGCCCTCCGAGGAGGGAGAGGAGGTGGTTCTTGAGCGGGAGCGAGTTGGGTGGGAGGGCGACGAGGTCCGACGGCCGGCGATGGAGGTGGTCGAGCAGCGTGGGGTCGGCGCCAGCAGCTAGGAGACGGGATACCGCAGCCGGCGCAGTGGAGGCGCCGCCGCCGGCGGCGAGGTGGAGCGCGGTGGAGAGAGACGACGGTGAGGCGCGGTTGGGGTCGGCCAGGTGGGGCGGCGAGAGTAGGACATCGATGCAGGCCACTGACCCGTACGCCGCCGCGACCATGAGCGGGGTCATAGGCTCCGCGCCGCGCGCCGGGGAGTACCACGGCGAAGGCTCGTCAGCAAGCGACGGGTGTGCCGCGAGGAGGTCCCCGAGCGCAGCGGAGTCGTCGTCGGCCGCGAGCTCCAGGAGCCGCGCAGATACGGCTGCCGCCGCCGCGTCGGAGGGTTCCGCCATGGCCGGAGGCGCGCGATCGGGAAGGTGTTCGACGAAATGGTAGAAGAGGGAAGGCAAGCCGGGGGAGGGGAAAGGGACTTTGTGCTTTGGGTTTTTGGACAAAACGAGTAGGGTTTTTTTTGCTTGGGTCGGGTTTTGGGGAGATTTGCCGATTGCTTATTACTATGTTTTACCCTATGTTTTATGGGTAAAACGGGGTTTTCATCTCTTGAGCGTAAAGGGTGAACATTGGTTGCGGTGCTCACAAAATATATGGTGTTTTACCATCAGGTAGGAAAATGCCAAAAACATGGATAACTGGTTAAAAAAAAGATGTAGGGTAGACACGCCTTTCAGCCTAATTGGTGGAATAATGTATACAAAGAATAGGTGCCTGAAAATCAAATGATCGTTTTGTTTTCTTCCCTTGTCTTTCTCACATGTGGGTTGAATCTTCTAGATGCCCTTAGGGGGAAAAAATCTTCATGCAAATTTTTACGGTGGCCAGTACTGTAAAACAAATATTTCAAATAAACTTCCCATTAGCTAATTTCTTACTAGAAACATAAATGGGTAGCTATTTTGTGGAATATAGATTTATTCACAGTTGATGAGAGGACCGAACATTAGTTTAATTCCGAATGAAAATGGCAAGGTTGTAGTCAGATCAAATACGAACATAGAGCCCGGATTTAATTTTTATCCCTTTCTCAAGAAAATTAACATTTATATCCATAAACATCTTTGGACCTCAAGGTCGAGACAGTGGTCTAGGACACCGAGGTAATACGTTTCGCACGCCATGACACCGAGCTTCGATGCATGGATGGTGTGGCGAAACGATATGACGCTGATGTGACCAGAGCTCGGCGCCACGATTCATGGTGCTGTTGGCACCGAGCTCTGAATTTAATCCTAATTTACAATGACATGGACATATCCAAGTGGTGATTGAAGCCCTCCTTAGATAGTGACTGGCTTGATATTTTCATCATTTTCTAGAAGTCTCGCCACTAAGGGTATGGGAATTTTTTATGTTTATGTATTTTTCATATGAAAATTGAACTAATCCCCGTATGATTCTTGTGAAATTCCATCGTTACAAACAGACCCTATAGATAATTTAATTGATGCTTCATTGTTTCCCTCAACCTGCTTAACACATCCAACTTCAGCCTCGATTTAGGATATGTAAGACATTCTACAAGACTTTGTCTAAATGCTAGCACGAGCAAAATGAATTCAGTTTATCTTTTCCTGAACATCGAATATTTGGATCAGAATACAAAAAGGGAAATACCTATCGGATATTTGATGTATTGTATTCAGATAGTTATACTGGATATCTATTATATATGTACGATGTGCATGCTAATCTTACAAAAGCCCAAGATGAATTTTAACAAAAAAAAGTAAGTCAAGTAGAGTTTATTATCTTTTTCTAAAGCATATATAAGTTTGGGGTAAAAGCTAACTTGAAATCATACCTACGCTAAATATTGTAGTGAACTCAAATAAATCAAAACAATGCGAACGATCAAGTTAAAAACAAGTTTACTCTTACAAATATTATCGAGAAAAATGTAGAACTTTTGACTAAAGTTTAAGCACATGTTCTTAATCTAAGAGAATATACAAAAAAAAAAGATTAATTTTAGTGTTTTTGGACGAATTGGTTGGTTGCTACTTATGAACGGCCATCTAGAAATATTTCAATAATATGGCTTTCGTTCATGTATTGCACAAACCAGTACAAAAGAGATTTTGAATATATTTTGCTAAGTTTTCTGAACGAACAAAAACATGAATTTATATGATCTTTGTTTGTACTTAATATTTGAGAATAATATTTGTGACCAATCTTGCCTATAACTTCTCATATATTTTTTTTATTTGGAACACGGACAATTCATAATACTAAGTATATACTATAAAAAGTCCATGCTTAACTCCACCTCCGAAAAGAAATGTAAAACCACATACCATATGAACGTGGGATATCAAGAATAGTCCCCACACAAAAAACTAGAAAGGTCTCTATATCCATTAGTTAGAGTTCTTGCTAAGCAAAATAATAATATGGCATTAGAAGATAAAGAAGAGAGAGAGAAAAATGATTTCTTATATAAGAATATATATCTACACGAGTGTATGGTTGAGATGGTGGACTAGAGGGGATAAATAGTCATTTCTAAAATTAATCGAGCTGACTAACTGAAACAAATACGGAACTAAAACTATCGGTATAGCTAAAACTATATATCTCTATCTAAGTTCACAGGCACCTTATAAAGATCCTAATTAAGCAACAAAAATACCGGGCTAGCTAGAACTCACATAATTAATTCTAGAGCAAGATCACACAAACATATACACTAGTACTTTAGCAACCAAGGATCTCCTACACATGCTAGTGATACAAAAGCACAAAGCTCCTAAACTCACTAGCAATGCTCAATAACAAGGCTACACAAGCCAAATTAGAGAGCACAAATCACTTAGCTACACAAACTAAGCAATGTGACTAATAAGGTTACTAAAACCAAATTAGGCACGTAAGGGAGCTACTTCTATGCTACACAAGCAATAAGGTAACTAGCAAGCTACACAAGCAAACTAATTATAAGAGCAACTACACAAGCGCAATGTATATGAAAGTAAATACAAACTTGTGTAACGGGGATGCAAACCAATGGAAAGAAGGATGACACAACAATTTTTCTCCTGAGGTTTACGTGCTTGCTAACACCTAGTCCCCGTTGCGTCGACCGCTCATTTGATGGTTCGACGGCTAATTGGCATCACCCGTCAAGCCCACACATTGAGCACTACAAGAACCTACCCTAAAAGTAAGGGTAGCTCAATGACACACTTTACTGGTGTTGCTCTTCACGGCTCCCACGGGGTGAGCACGGTACCCCTCACAAATCCTTCTACAGAGCACTGCACAATCTTCTTGCGTGCTTCAACGGAGACAACAACCAAGCCATCTAGAAGGTGGCAACCTCCAAGAGTAACAAGCACCACCGGTTTGCAACTCGATCACCTAGTGCCAACACTTGCAATCTCTCATGCACCGCACCAGAATCGCTCTCTCACTTAACGAACATGATTAGCACTAATCACAAAGTGAGTTGGAGGGCTCCCAAGCACTCTCACACAAAGACACTAAGTCCCCAAGGTGCTCAGCACCTCAAATGCCCGGGCACCACCTCTATTTATAGAGGGAGGCCTAAAACTAGCCATTTGGACGTGTGCTGAAAAGTGAACTGCGGACGGTCCACCCTTATAGGCCTGGACAGTCCACCCTTATGCTAAAACTAGCCGTTAGGTGCAGCGATGATTACCCAGGACAGTCCGTGTAACACCCTCGGTGTTACATTGTATAGTTTTTGCTACAACACTGCATGTGCATCAAACTTTTGTGTGCATATATGTGTAATACAGCGTATACATCAATATATGGCACTTGAAACGTTCATCTGAAACAAGAAACAAGTGTTACGTTTCATGTCTCTTTATACCATTTAGGGTTCTAAGTGAATTTTTATCGAACAAAAATGCTATAGAACATTTATGCGAACTTTGATAAAGTTTGTAGTACGAACTTCATAGGCAACGATGAAATACGTGCGGTCAAGGATAGGGTTCGCTAGCTAGTGTATCGAGTAGCTTGGAAAAGGAATTCGACGTGAAACCGTTCGACGTTTAGTCGTTTCGCGTAAGTCTGTAAATGGGTCGATGAAGCAAAGTTCGGCAATTTTTGTAGAGCGATTGGGTTAAGACGTGGCATGATGCTTTGGTTTAGTTCGACAGCCCTAGGTACCCTCTTAAGTGTTAAATGACTGGTTTGGATCTCGGATCATCGAGTTGGTTGTTGTAGCAGCTTTAAAAAGCAAGCACGGCATGTTTTACACCTTCGGGCGCGGTCACTGCCACTGTTTGGCCTGGCACTGCTACGCTGGCCTGCATAGTGCGCTGCCGTGCCGGCCATGTCGCCACTGCCATGCTTGTGCAGGCATGCCATGCGTGGGCCACCACACTAGCCGTCCCTACCATCGTCCTCGCCCTACTAGCATGCCGCGTAAGCTCCTGCACCGGCCGTCGTCGCGCTGCACGCGCACACCCGCGCGTTGGCTCTGTGCTACCGGCCAGGGTCTCCTACTGCCGTGCGCTGGTACATGACACGCGCGTGCGTTGGGCCCGGCCATGCCTGGCCGCTCTGCCCCTCCTCCAGCGCATCCGCCCGAGGCTACTGCTCGTCGTCGCGTCGCATCGCTCGCTCTGAGCACCGTCCGGCGCTGCCATCCTGCTACTGCTCCCGTTGACGTCGGTTGTGCGTGCGCGTGGGCTTGCCCTGCTTGCCTCGTTCTCACACGTGCGTGCGAGGTCACGCCATAAGCTCTTGTCACGTCGCTTAGGAGGTCACCGGCCGGCCGAGCCGCGCCAAGGCCTAACCGATGCACTAGCCCCTTTTCTTTGTATCAAGCATGTTTGGTGGTCGAGTGGAAGGACAGCGTCGTGCCTAGCCAGCCACTGTGGTGGTGGTACAAGGGAGGGGCGCCAATTTGAATTTTTGTTATCGTCAGCCGCCATAAGTCCATAGGCGTCGCCTCTACAAATTGGCCTCGCAACACTCCACCATTTTCTAATTAACTGTGCACACTACGAGCTCGGATAGTTAGCCTTCGAGTGAAGTCATCCCGGCCTTCAGTGAGGTGAGGCGGGGCGTTCGCCTCGCGGCGGTCCGCCATGGCCGTCGGAGCGGGCGCACGGCCTGGGCGTCGTGTGGTGTTTCGCCATTTCAATTAGGCTGTGCATTGTGTAGTGTTTGACTCGGTGATCATGCTCGTGCAGTGGTTTCGCCGACGGAGCCCTAGGTCACCGGGAACGTCGTCGCCGCTCTCGCCGGGAAACAGAGCGACCCCGCATACAGGGCCAGTGGCCTTGCCATGCCCCGTGACCTCGTCTAAGCCGTCCTACGCGTCGCTGGTGAGGCCCTCTTACTCCTAGGGTAGCTG